TTCACTTCCAGAGACAGTTGGAAGCGCTGTGTAACTGCCTCGAGGATGCTTGACCATTTTAACACAACGTGGTGCGATTATCCCCCTTGAGCGGAGTGAAGGTTCTCGACCCCGCACAGCATAATCAACTCGACCACCATTATGGTTACCGCCCAAAAAAAAACCAGAGGTAACAAAAAAAGCGGTAAACTGGTTGCCGAGTTCACGAAGTGAATTGGCTTGTTTTACAACATCGCTGCCAAGCGACGAAAACCCAACCCCGATGGCAAACACCGGGGGGGGGGGCGGCATGTTTTACAACGTCGTTGCCAAGCGACGAAAACCCAGCCCCGATGGCAAACATCGGGGGGGGGGGAGGGGGGGGGGGCCCCAAAATCCCACTCCTCTCATGGGAAAAAATGCCAGCATTCGTGTTCTCCTCTGCCACACCGGACTGCTATTATTATTATTATTATTATTATTATTATTTATTTTTTATTTTTTTCACGAAATAAAAGGGCATGGCTGCTGTGCGGTATATATACGTCAAGGGGCCAAAAAAAGCAACAAAAAGGTTCACGGGTTGCGAAAGCCCTTCAAGGCGGCTACAAAGCATTACCCAAAAGTACGAAGCAACGTGCTGCACAAAACATGGATGTGTTCCTGACGTTTCCGAATACAGAATAGTACCCGGGCCCCCGTTTAATTAAAAAAAAATCGAGCTTGGCCTACTACCAAAAACTGTGTTGGGTTGCTATTTATATAAGGAGGGCTCAATTTCGATTCCCCGACCTTGCAAAAAAAATCGTCGGATGATTACTACTCAGGAAATAAAAAAAAAACAGTTTTCTGCCCCACGGCCAACAAAGCCAATCTAGATTTTTACAATTTGATTTTTCGAGCATCGTTAGCACGTGGCCTCAGAACCGGGATCCCCGTCCACAACAATGGGTTGTTTTTCTCAACTTTCTAACCCGTAGCGACGGACGGCAACCGGATGGATTTGGTAAATATTACTACAGACCCAAACAAAAAAAAAAAAACGACGCTACCAGGTACACTACGATAGTACGATAGCGGCCTACCTGTCTTCCACCCTGCTGCCCGCGGTGTGCCTTCCCTGGGTTCATTCGTTGCTCCTGCCGCTGCTTCATCTCCTCGACCATCCTGCAAACGAAAAAAAGAAGAAAAAAAACAGTCCCCGGAAAAAAATCAACATTGAGAAAAGATATCGCTGCTGCCTCCGCGCCCGCGAAAAACAAACAACAATCAAACAAAAAAAAACAATCGAAAGATCACACTGGAACCATATTTGTTGCCCACGAAGGGTAATCGGTCCACAGCAGTCGATTTCCTTTCCCGAAACCTGAAGAAAGCCTACAAGCCACGGTTAAACATTTCGTCGAAATGTAAAGATAACAAGTGGCTGGTGCGTGTGTGCCCGACCGCGTTTGCGTACAGCAGTAGCTTGGTCGCCAACTACAAAAAAAATGAAGAACCAGGTGGTAATGTTTTTGTTTTGTGTATCGTCCGGTGCCTAAACCTCAACGAACGATCGACGTCTCATGGTCAATATCTCGCGCCATCCTCTACAAAAATGGGGCCGCTACACAGGCCTGTAACCCGAATGCATAGCCGTCTCTCTCTCTCTCTCCCCTCTTCTTTTTGGGCCTAGGGCTCCTCGAGTTCCAAACGTATCCCGCACGACAAACCCGCACCATCAAACTCCTGCACGACGCGTCCGTGAAAACGCGGCACACACACGCATGCTTGTAACCCGTCCTTTCCATGCAGCGGAGAGCGAACTCACTTTTCCATCTCGCTCATGGGCTTTGCAGCCTTGGCTCCAGGCTTACCACCACCTAGCTTGTACTCCTCCCCCACCGCACTGGCACCTGGGAGCCCCATCAGCCTGTCGGGAGCAAAAAGGCAACAGCGTGCAGATGAGCGCATTTGCACAAACCGCAGAGGTGAAGAGGGACAGGGATAGAATAGAGCGTGGTTGAAAACCCGGTATGGTTGCAACATTTTTCCTTTCGGCATACACCACGAAAATATTGCAGGGATTGCTCCATATAGAACAGAAGCAGCGTAAAGATTTTATTCGACCTGGAAAAAAAGGAACTTAGAAGTGTAGAACAGACGCAGCGTAACCACTTGACACTCAACATGAGAAAACAATCCCATGTGGCGAAGCAAAACCTCCGATCTATATGACCCCAGCTGGTGCGCATCCGACAACATAGAAAAGTTCGTACAACTCAAGTCCGGAAGAGGCGGGATCAACAACGTACAAGCACCTACCCGACGACACAAAGCCGCCGTCGCCGTCGTACACAGCCGCAGCATCATCAGGAACAACAACAGCAAAACACCACCGCCGCTATGTACGAAAACCACCAAACAACACTGAAACTCACCCTGCTAGGGCGGACGGCATCGGCACCCCGCCCCCGCCGCCCGAAGCGGGCCCGTACGCTCCGAGAGCGCTCCCGGAACTCCCTCCGCCGCGCCCCGCCGCTCCCCTTGCGGGTGGCGCTCCCATCCCCCCCCCCCCCCTGCCTCCCGCGACGCCCCCTCTGAGAAAAGTCTTCCCGTCGTCGGGCCCTCCGCCGTCGAAAGACTGCACGAACTGCTCGTAGATCTTGGCTGCTTCTACGTCCGCCTCCTTCTTCTTCTCTTCCTTCACCTCTCTCTCCTGCGCGTGTGTTGGTGTTGTTGTTCATGATCTTGTCTTGACACATTAAAATCCGGGCTCCGCATCAAGTGCCTTACAGTATCCGTACAATATTGGTTCCAGCTGACGACGAGGACGCCTTCGGTGGTCACAAGCCAACTAACTCCAAAGAAGGGGTGGTACACCTTTTCTGTGATACATAGCAAGAAACTTAGCGGGAGCCCGCCAGCGTGCGCGCGTGAGCGTGGCTCTGGACAGCATCGATGGTGCCAACCGACTGGCCAATAGAAAAATGCGCCAGTTAATAATGGCGGAATAGAAAAAAAACAGGGAATACACTCTCTCGACGTCGGGCTCCCCCGATCGGGGGAGGCAAGCTTGGGGGGGGGGAGGGGGGGGAAGGGGCGCGGGGCGCGAAAGAGATTGGACGACAGGGGAATGTCCTCCGGATTCGATGAACAAGGACAAGACTTGATATACTGTAGCACCATGTTTGGGTGCTGAGGTGGGGGTGCAGGGGCGCAACTGCAAAAGAGAACAGCTAAGGAGACTGCGAGGCTTTCATCCAGAAGGTGTTGCAGGCTAAACAGTGCTGTACGCAACTGATCTACTCAACTCAGCCGCAGGCTGCTGATATATAACCGAGTTTTATTTTTTTTAACTCGTCCCATCCAAGGTAACAGCTACACTGCACACCTTCTTGACACACAATAACAGCCGGAGTCACACAGAGGGTTTTCTCCATCGTTCTTCCTGCCGTGCTTGCCTTCAATTTCCAGCGAGAAACATCAGGTCTCATACATATTCCCTTTTCTTTGTATGCAAGACTGGTCGGGTGATGCCCATGAAGAGAGGGTGTTTCTTGTTAGACTGCTAGCATTAGAGAGGTGTCAGCGAGACATGAATTGAGCACTGCTGGATAACCCACGGGCTTGTGGCTGCGTATGCCGGGAGAGGTCACGTGCGTGCTTCGTGTGGTTGACCAGGTCGGAGGGCGTCGCCGAACACTGCTATTGTGGCATCCGCAACAACAAGTCTGCCCGCGTTGGGTAAATGTGCAGTAGACTATGCAGTAACTGCATCAAATACTATAAACACGACGGTCACCAATGGATTTTTACCATACCTGCACATCATTGCGTGAGACACATTGTCGAAGCAGTCACAGCAACTTCTTTACCACAAAACATAGCTAGCGTAACGCCGTGGAACAGCAACGCAGCAGTGAGAAAGGGATTTTGCACAAAAGGGATGCGTGCTGTCGGAAGCAGGGCAGACAGCAGGCAGTTGCTGGTTGCATACCTATAGAATCAAGTCAAAACGAAGATCATTGAATATCACCCCCTTCGCTCTGCAGGTTGGATGGGTCGCACACACCTTTTGCAACCTGCTCTTCTTCTGCTTGCCGACGACGAAGGTCTTGAGCTTCTTGTCCGTGATGGTCTCCTTTGCCCCCGGCTTAAGCCCGCCGATCTTCATGCCCCACGGCATCCTCTTCCCAGGATCCGCCATCCTCGGTGCTTCGACCCCCGTCTACGCCCCTCCTGCTAGACACCACCACACTCTGAATGAGGATGATCCTCTCTGTCCTCCACGTGCTGCAGCTGAGCCTCTCTTGCCGATGCCTTGTCCGGGCGGTATCAGCAGGATCGTGACCACAAGGGAATAAAAGTCCCTTCCCTTTCCTCCTATCTGCTCTATTCCCCGCTGTCCGCAGACACACACCGAGCGAGAGCCGCTTTGTTGGCACTCTCTCGCGCCTCCCTGAGCATCCCCGTTTCCCTTAGGGAGTTGCTAATGTGTTGGATGCTTCGTTATAGAGCGAGACCCCTCAACAAGAGTCAGTAGTGCTACAAAAGAGCTGTGTTGCAAACATCACTGCTGAACCTTGAACCAGGACCAACAAGCACCGAGGAGGAAGCAGCCGAAGAGCAGGAGTTAGCCTCTCCAGTACCAGCGTCTCGTCTGTGGCGTGTGCTGCCTGCTGCTTGTGTGGTTATTGAGGAAACTTGCACTCGGAAATCGACACATCTTTTCCCGGGGGCTGCAACCAACAGTCAGAACAAGCACAGCAGTTTACAGCAGTAGTGGGGGTGGAACGCGATGCGGAGAGAGAAGAGGAGACGTCAAGGGGTCGGGCCGTGCGGTGCCGCCCTCTTGCTGGTGGCGTCCCTGGTGCCGCACTCGCTGGCTGCTGGTGGCTTTCAGGTGTGACAGCAACAATGAGGCGTGTGTTTATTTTTTTGAAAAAGTATTGATTGCAGCTGCTACAATGCATCCTCGCTCTTACCCACAAACACAGAGGGAAACAATGCTGCCTCACGTACTCCGCTGCTGGTCGGTGGCTCCTCCGATCATGAGTCTACAGGTGGACAAGAACACGCAGCAGTATGGTCATCTTATAAGAGGACCGCCGCGGCACAACAACGCAAACGACGTGCAAGACAAATACAAACCACTCCTCACAAAGCCAGACGACACCTCATGCCCGCTGGTCGCTCTGGGCGCCGCGTGGCTTCGCCACCGAGAAACTGCCCGCGCCCGCCGCCCCATGCCTTTCCGTTCGTTTTGCGAACGGTTTCTCTCCCCAACAAAGAAAACCCACGCTTTACTCTGAAAGAAATGCAGGAGGAATCCGATGAAAGGATGCGTGCAACGAAAATCCTTGTGCTTGTCGTTTGTTCAGTTTTGTGGACGCCAGTAAAGTACAGCAGTATAATAGCAGTAAATACTTGTAGTGCATCTATCGTTTGTCACGAGGACTGCACCACCCGCCACGAGGCGGCGTTGCAGGAGATGAACGCCATTTCGCGTGCACTCAGCAGAGCATCACGATTCCAACCATCTGGGTGCGTGCTGCTGCTGTACAACGTGTAGAACACATGCTCGACGGCCGGCATGGTCTACCGCCGTCCAGAGCGTACACGTAGTACATGTGCGACCGCTACACACCAGCAGGGGCCTACCTCCTCTCTCTGTTAACCGAGGGCTTTGTTACACCCCACGCGGCCGTTCGCAAGCTTGTGACACCGAACCAATTATGCATCTGTGCTTTTGGCCCACCCCCGTTCCGCTGCCGCAGGGCAGTCACGGCGGCAACGCGCCGCCCCGACCACCGTCATCAAGCAGGGGCGCCGCTGGTTCACCCGCGGACCGCGAAGCCGGGGGGGGGGGGGGGGGGGGGGGGGGGCCATTTTTTCCCCAAAAAATTGGGGAAAAACCCTCCGGGAAAAAAGAACCGCGGCGGCCGCCAAACTTGGGGCAGGGGGGGAAAAAGGGCCCCCGGGGGACCCCCCCCCCCCGGTGCCGGGAAACCCCCGAGGAAAGGGTTTTTTGGAACCGGGGAGGGGGAAACGGAAAAA